AAATCCTTAGTTTTCTACAACTGATAGTGGTTGGTCATTAATTATGATGAAGTTTAGCAACTTCTCAGTAAACATTCAAGCTCCGAGGCTTCAGCGATGTTGTCTTCTTCTTGTTTGATCCAAGCAAGCAGCCTGATTTCGGTCAGCCGCGCTCAGTCTGCCCCTCCTTAGAGACGGGTAGATTGAGCAGAGCAGATTGGACGCGGCTGGCCGGGGTCGAGTTGGCTGTTTTGGGTTGAGCAAAGAGTAGCGCCCTGCTGAAGCCACGGAGTTCTAATGTCCAACGTAAAGCTAACTTTACCGCAGTTTAATGTGGTGCTATGGCTCTGCAGACATTGCACGTTGCTGTCTTGTGTTGTGGTGTTTCTAGTGTAAAATACTTCCACACAGCGGACATGTTTCAATGAAAAGTTGGTTAGCTGTTAGCAACAGTGCTGCTAACTCAGCCCTCACGTTGTAGCTGGCTGCAAACTATGAAACTACGGGTCTTATTACTCTGGGTTCATGAGACATGCCTCCATTCAGGAAATCCATTCCATAGTTTGAAGCCAACATGCATCATGGATCGGAAATATCAGCAGGTTGTATCGGAAAATTCCGATACGCAAATTATGCTGGTATCGGAGGCCAGTACCGATACTGGATCCGATCAGCCCCATCCCTAATATATATATATATATATATATATATATATATATATATATATATATAGGCGTTTTAAACCCTTCCCACACTAAATGCTCTAAAAGAGCACAGCATGTCATGAAATCAGCTCTCTGCCAGCTCTCTCGGACATGCCCACTTCTCCGCTGCAGAGCGGAGATCAGCTGCCGGAGGGGGCTTCTTCCAATTATGGGCTGCACACAGGTGCTAAATCATTTGAATTTATTTATTTTAAATTTAAAAAATCCATGCTGACTGTGCAGCTCATCCATCAATCAGCCAATTGTGTGTCGTGTGTGTCCTGTCCAATCTTACTTTGAAAAACCACGATAGAGCATCCATCCATCCATTTTCTTTACCCGCTTATTCCATTTTGGGTCATGGGGGTCGCTGGTGCCCATGTCCCGCGATAGAGCAAGTCAGCGAAAAACGAACCGTGAAATAGCGAGGGACTACTGTACACCACTGTCTCTTTGGCAACAGAAAGTCTATGGTTATTCACATGAATGATTTCATGAATTATATACATTTTTATACTTTTGTACAGTTTTGGAACTTTTGGATAAGACAACACAAATAATAACATTAGGGTGCACCTAGTATATAGAATATGCAGGCATTTGGACAAATTAAACAAGAAAATGAACAACTTTTTGACATGTTTGCTACATTATGACTTCTAGTCAACTCTGTAATCAATACAAGGATCTTACAAGTTGTAGAAAAAGTCAGAGCTTTGATTCTCACTAACAGCTGTGTATCAGCAGATCCAAAGAACAACTTGCAGACAGTCAGGGTGTTTGATGGTTAAACTCTCACACACACGCGCACACACACACAGGTGTTTGTGTGTTTTTGATGGCTAAACACTTACACACACAGAGAGAGGTGTGTGTAACTAAATGCCTTGGTCATCGTCCTGCTGACTCCTGCCAGGGGAACATTCCTTTGTTCTGCTCCACTGAGCAAGAAGACTTGCAGCACAATGAAGCTATGCTGCTCTCGTCTGTGTGTGTGTGTGTGTGTGTGTGGGGGGGGGGTGTGATTGGTGTCTGTGTGTGTTTGTCCACTGGGAGGCAGTGAAGTGTGATGGTCTGGCCACTCAAGCCATGGGGAGTTATGAAGCGATGGCAAGCCAGCTGTTCAATTTGAACACATGGGCAGGCACAAAAATGGAGATAAGTGAAGAGAAACAGTCAACATATACTGTATGTGCTGGATGTAAGATTAGTGAAGATAAACAGACACGTATTTCTCTACTATTTTTGGACATAATGCCTTTTGCTTTGTAGCAGCAAACTGGAACAACTTACACAGCACATTCAAACTCACAACATTGACATTTCTCACAAATTATAAGCACAAACTCCCAACAGATTGTAGTTAACTGTGGTGCTTGCTGATTATTCTGGGATGCACTTTGGCACATTTATTTATCATTTTACAAGAATACTTCCTACTTTTTCATGCAAACTTCTTCACCTCACACATATTTTATTCTTATAGTGGTGTGTGTGTGTGTGTATCAGAATCAGAATAAGCTTTTTTATCATTGTACCGAAACACAGTGAGATTACGTTCGTACAGTCATCCGAAAGATGGGTGGAGTGCACATTGCTGCTGCTACTGGAGAGCGGCCCCTTATCCTTTTTCAGAATAATTTTTTAGATAAAAAAGGGGAAAAATCCATGAGTATAGGGTAGTGGTATTACAAAAAAAGATCTCTTTACACTTTGTCCTATCAAGACATGATTTAAGACATCTTAAAAACTGCCAGCAAGCACTTATACACATGTTACATACATGTATGCAGTATGCAATTGACAGCAAGGCAGTGATTTGTCCATAAAGTACTTCCAGATAGACCATAGTTCTGATAAGATGTTGATCAGCTGGCACAACCTTCACAGAAGTTCTTAGTTCTTTTGGGGGGGAGGGGGGTAGTTACAATAGACAAAGCTCAAAAAGCGTTCAATACAAAAAAGCTTTTGCCAAGTTGTCACATAGCCCAGGAAGAATTTGATAAGTCAGCCTGTTTTCGAGGCCAACCGAGGGAGTCGGATTCTGATAAGCCACAATTTTGATTTTTTTTTTTCTGGCAGACTGTTTTTTCTTGTCAGCCTTGAGACCTGCTGCTACTTTCAAGATCCAAAATGGCCAGATTAGTGTGCATTCCACTGGTCCTTGCCTACGAGGCTCCTCCAAGGTCGTATCCAACATTCTGGCAAGTCCCAGAAGTCACAGGTGGCCTGCAATTTGCACAAATTGCTTCCATCTTACGGTATATCTCCAAAATCATCTGATTTTGAATATTCAAAGCATGAACCAAACCCTGACACAGACTTGGCAGTTTTACCATTGTCTACACTGCTGCCACAGCCGTCCTTAATAGCCGATAACACAAATCCACCGATGCCAGAGAGCAGAAACCCTACTATCATAAATACAATACAATTATATAGCTGTCTTCGGCATCCTCCTGAGATAGAACAGAAAGACACATCAGCTCCCAAACTCCCCAAATCCATGATGTATCCTGCCGTGTGAGTCAGGGCATGAGGGCTCTCCGGGACCCTGTTGCTTTGTTGAAAAGATTTTGTCGTTTGCGTTGAAAGTCCAGCTAAACAGAGTAGTTTTAGTTTTGGAAGATGTGTAACAGGAGCTCTGATACACAGACAGAGAGCAGAAAAAAGCAGTAGAATAACAGGAGAGGGAGAAGAGGCGTCTGCCTTGCATGAGAGCAAGTACAGAAAAAAATAAAATAAAAATTTTTTTATATATATGTACACCCCAATATGCATCCATAAATTTGGGGGTCGTATTATATACAGGAGTAAATTTCCACTGCACAAATCATTTACAGATGAATGGTGACATACATGAAGCATGCTAAGCTAAACTAGACAAAGCTGAGCTCCCCATGGGGACGACATTGCAGTAATTGCTTTTCCTCTTGGCGCCCTCTGGTTGACTGTCTGCAAAGTCGTCTTTAAGAACATGCATTCATTCGAAACGCCAGTTAACAACTTGTGTTGTTAAAATAAAATTTTAAAAAATCTGATACCAGTCATATTATCATTGTACTGATATGTATACAGACTACTAAGGCTGAAAAATCCTGAGGTCTGTATGAAATTAGGGGTAACACGTTAGATTTTTTTAGGCTTTTTAAGCTAAAAAAAATGTATGGTAAATGGACTGTACTTACATATCACATTTCTATCTAATCAAGATACTCAAAGCGTTTTATAGCACAATCTGTGCCCTCATTTATCTCCACACACACATTCATAGAGTATTCTACAAAGCTAATCTGAATCTGTAGAGACCAATCAGCGCTTTATTACATTCATGCACAGATAGGTCACACATCGGAGGTAATGAGGGTTTTGTTGTCTTGTCCAAGATCACTTCGGCATGTGACTGCTGGTGGAATCGAACCCCCAACTCTCCTATTGGAGGACAACTGCTCTAACCACCCAACCACAGCTGCCCCAAAGTGCAAAAAATGGGCGGTCGCATTATACATAAGATTACATTATACACAAAGAAATATGGTTTATATATTTCTGTACAATATATTGATATAATGTAATATTGTACCCATTTCTTCTTGTCTAGGTCACGTTTGTAGTTCTCAAACATCCACCTGGTAAAATAAAGATCAAATACAAAATGAAAAAAATCCCTGAGACTGGACTATGTGAAAAAGAAGTCAAAGTGAATAATGAATCTCACTCACTGTTGAAGGACAGGAGAAGCCTTTAGATTTTTTTAAATTAGGCAGATTTTTTTTTTCTTTTAGAACATTATTTCTGTCTTGTTTTTGACTGCACTGCTTTTCCAACTGGAGACTTGTTACCCCGCTCTGACATCTCAATATTTTTCTCAACAAGAAACCTAGATCTTTAAAAAGAAATAAAACAGACTGCTCTTCCCTGCCTAGTCTCAACGTGATGATTTATTTACCGTGTACAGTTCTGTCTCTGCTGGCCTGCTTTGCATGTTGAGGACTCCTGCAGCGCTGTGGGCGTGGTTCTAAATTATTCACCTTTTTAACCAATGACCTCATACATTCTCTCTTTTCATTCATTTTTCAAGATGACTGCCTTTTTAGTGTCAACGGTGTGTCCGTCTCTCTTCTTTTTCTTTTTCTTCTTTTCAGAGAGCTCAGAGTTTTCTGTCTGACTGCATAAAGAGAGAGGAAGGAATGAGCACGGCTCCGAAGAAATCCTCCTCTCTGTTCCTGTCGTCTGCTGCTCCTTTGAGCTTCACTCTTTCACCTCGCTAACCCTCACCCTGATCTTCTCTCTTTGTTTCTCTTTGTCTCCCCTCAGATCCCAACGCAGTGGGCCAGCATGGCACCGACCACGCCCTGATCGGAGGAGTGGTGGCCGTGGTGGTCTTTGTCACCCTGTGTTTAATCATTGTTCTTGGAAGATACCTGGCCAGGCATAAAGGTAAATCCCCAATGGACCACACCTTGGGGTTCATTAAAACGGTGACGGATGCAGCTCTCTTCTAATTGTCTTGTTACAACTTTGTGAGAACAGAAGAAGTCGTGCAGACTTGGGTGACCAGCTTTGTAATGCAGATCAGTGAATTCAGATAAAGAGCACGCAGTCATGGCAACATTAGAGTCCGAGGTAAAAACCTCAGCTCGGTTCTTTCTGGAGCTCACAACTGCTTCATCCGAGTAGATTTACATTTTTTATAAACTGATTCTAGACACCTCCAGGATTCATTAGGCATCCTCGAGGACAGGGGTGATTCTAGGATCTGACATTTGGGGGTGCTTAGCCCCCTGTACTGACAATGGCTCCTGGCTTGAACAACGCACCCCATGGTGTGGTTTGTGAGAAGTGAAAAAGCTTACAACACCTGGTGTTCCCAGGTGGTCTCCCATCCAAGTACTAACTGTGCTCGACCCTTCTTAGTTTCCAAGATCTGATGATGAGATCGGACGTGTTCAGGGTGATATGGCTGTAAATGAAGAACCCAGTCACAAATAGGACTTTTAAAGGATCATAACATACAAAGACTAAACTTATGCAACTAGACATTGTAACATATCTACATACAAAACACACAAAACAAAGTACACCTAGCTTTAAGCATTGGCCTTTAATTTAACCGTTCAGCATAAAATGTAATTATGACAGAAAATGGAGGATTTACTTGCAGTTACCTTCATACAGATGAACATGTGAATTCAAAAAACGTTCAATACAAAAACAACTGGACTTTATTTGTAACAGAAGACGTTTCGCTCCTCA